GGACAGAGAGTGTGAATACACTGCCCCTGGGGTCCCCAAGGGCTGGGTGTGATGTTTGCTGGGGATGATCAGGGTTTTGGCCTCCTGTTCATGATGGAATGTTTGGTTTGGGTTCCTCATTCAGTAGTTTCTGGAACAGTAGTTGAGACTATTTCCTTTCCCAACAAAACCCAACTATAAAAAATAAAATGCCTTTAGTCCTTCACAGTTCAGTAACTGTTGGCTGAGCACTCACTGTGGCCAGTCCCACCCATGCTGGTGCTGATGGGGAGAGAGCAGAGACTCAGGCAGTTTCCCTGTGGAAACTTACTGCCTCCATCCAGCCCATCCTCCATCTACCCAGAGCTTCATCTTCTTGAAAGAGCACAGACTGCTCATCAGACCCTCCTGCTCTCAAACCTTCAGAGGCTCCCAGATCCACTTTGTCAGCCTCTGTGATGTGGCCCAGCCTCCATGTCAAGCATGTCTTCTGTTCTTCTGTTGTTATGCTTCTGTCTTTGCAAACCATGCTTTCCCCTGTTCCTGGGGAGCGTGCCTTTGCTCAGGCTGTAGCCCTTGCCTAGAATGCCATTTCTGGACGCCCATGCAAGGTGAGGTGGTCCCTCCAGGCTCTTTATCCCCTCATCCCATATCACCTCTTTCACTCTTTTGCAGCCTTTTCCACATCATGCCATTTTGGTTCTTGATCCTTGATTCCACCAAACTGGGAAGAGTTGATAAAAAATTCAGTTTGAATTCCCTTTCCTGGGCAACATTGCCCCTCGCATCCAGTGGGTATTGATTCAGTCTGTAATGTGGTTTCCCGAGCTCTTCACCTGTGTCTGGTATGATACCAGTGCTGCCATATGCATCATCTCTTTCCAGCCTCACAAGGACTTCATGACACCCATGGCATCGTTCCATGTTCATGCATAAGGAGACTAAGGCTTAGAGGAATTGTCACTACATTCATTCATAGGTTCATTCAGCAAGCATATTTAATGAGCACTCACTGGGTGACAGGCTCTGTGGCATCGCGGGAAGAGTGGGAAAGTGAGACACTGCAAGCTGGGTACCGGGAAACTGACTCTGAGGCCTAAATTTAACAGCAGAATGATTAGGGAGATACTTGGGATCCACCCCTAGGGAGGGTGGTGGAGGGAGCAGAGTGAAGTCAAGCTGTGATGCAGGCAGTCTTACGCAAGGTCTTAGCTGGCCCTACAAAGAGTTCTAAAGATAGAACGACCCTTTAAAGCTGTCCAGGTTGAGACAGGAGAGACTGGTTTCTATGCCCCATATCTTTGGATGAGGCATCAGTCTTTGGAGGGCTTGTCACCATGCCCTCTGATGCCACCACTAAAGCATGCTCTCAGCTGGGGGCTGTCTGCTGCCAGCGGTCCCAGTGACAAGGGGATCTGAGCATCTACCATCAGAGAGGAAGTCTCTTTGACCCCATGGGGTTTGCCTGCAAATGGGGAATACAAGTGACAAATGCATAAACAAGTAGACAAGCAAGATCATTATACTTCCCATTATAAGCGCAAAAAAGGGCAGTAACAGGCACTCCTTTTACAGGCGAGGAAGCAGAGGTGCTGAGAGGTTAAATGGTTTCTAACGTCCTGTCTCCAACCCCCGTCACTCTGGCTCTGAATTTGAGCCCTCTCCACCTAGTAACTAGGCTTCCCAGGTGGCGTTAATGGTAAAGGACCTGTCTGCCAGTGCAGGAGATGCACGTTTGATCCCTGGGTCGGGAAGATCCCTTGGAGTAGGTCATGGCAACCCAATCCAGTGTTCTTGTCTGGGAAATCCCATGAACAGAGGAGCCTGGCGGGCTGTGATCCGTGGGGTTGCAAAGAGTCAGACACGACTGAAGCGACTTAGCATACAAGTACACCACCCTGTGCTAGTCACATAGAGTCTTTAAAGTCAAGCTAAAGAGCTGCATCTTGATCCTGTAGGCATTGAGGCAACTTTGGAGGAACACAGTAAGATACTTTTCTAGGAAATGACACTGGGATGGCCATGAGGAATCGGGGACTAGAGTCAGGACTTTGTTGAGGGGCAGCTTTAGGAATCTGGGCCCTGAAGTGATGCCATTGTCTGCTCTGGGACTGGTGATGGAAAATGTAGGTTGCTTTGGGCTGCATGTGACAAAAAATCCAGCTTTTAAATAACTTAACTAGTAAAGCCACAAAAGTAGAAGTTCTGCCAGAGATAGCCTGTGGGTTCAGTTTAACTAGTTTCTTGGGAGGTCATTAGGATTTAGGTTTTCATTCAGCCACCCGAAGCTGCTTCCTCTCCTGGTCCTTCCTCTCCCCAAAAGGTCTGCTGATAGCCACTGAGGCTCCAGGCATTTTTGCTACCACTCAGGAGAAGAGCTGAAACCTTCCCCTCAACCTTTTCAGTCCTCTTCCATGCAATTGTCACATACTCACCCCTGGACTAACAACACATACAGAATGCACCATCTTGAGTCGGGATGGGGTTGGCTATGTCCTTAAAAGAACTTGGTTGGAGAGATGAACACAGGGCCAAATTCATGGCTCTGTTAGGAAGCAGGAAAGGCAAGAATGAATGCTGGGGAGGGAGCTGGCATTGTCTGCTGCAGAGAACAAAGTACCAGGCAGTTTGATGGTAGGATGCAGTGACAAGTTGGATTGAGGATGGAGGAGTTTTTTAAAAGTGTCAAAGATAGCTCCAAATTTCCAGTCGCCGTGTCTAGGAAGATATTATCCCATTGACTGAACCTGAGGAGATGGAGGAAATGTCACACATTTTCTTTTGGATAATTTGAATTTGATGTGATGAGGGGATCATGCAAATGATACTGTTTTGCAACAGCAGACAGAGCCCAAGAGAGGGCCGTGGAGGTGATGACATGGCTGCCAATCATCAAGAAGTGGGAGCTGAAGTCAGCAGTGCGTGGGAAGCTGGCTGGGGCAGAGCTGAGAAGGCCAGACTCTTCCCAATAGAGCTGCTTCTAGAAATTTATCTGGCAAGGGTCCCTGCCCATGTGCACAGTGACAGAGTACAGAGATGTTCACTGCATCCTTGTTTGGAATATTAAGAGACTCAAAACAACCTGCTGGTTAATTAGTTATGACATATCTGGTGTATGGAACCCCAAGCAGCTATTATTAATAGAAAAGGAGAATGCAAGAGCTACATGGCCTGTCCAGGAAAAAAAAATCTGTCAGATAGATTGTTTGGTGGAAAAAAAGCAAGATGCAAAGGCTTGTGTGGATTACTTTCATTTATATTAAAAAAAAGAACATGCTATCCAGCTCTGTGTGTGTATATTCATATTCTGTTTCTAGAAGACATCAGAAGAAAACTTTAATAGTAGGTGCTTCTGAGTGGGGTTCTGGGAACTCAGGAGACCTACTTTTCACTTCTTACTTTGCTTGCTGTTAAGAGTTTCTTTAACCGTGTGCACTTGTTACCTAGCAAAAAAGTTATATCATAAAAATAAATACATAAGAAACAAAGTCTTGAGTGTCTGAGACGTTGGCTAGACCAAGAGGAGGTCACTGAGGGGTGTCAGAGAGTCTGAAGCAAACGTCACGGGGAGGGGCTGCAGGAGAAACTGAGGCAGCTGTTGAGACTCAGGGAAAGTGGAAGGAGATGGGAACAGCTTGTTGGGTACCTCTGTAGATGCCCATGATGTGACAGAAGTTTCCCTGGGAGCTCTGCACAGAAAATTCTGCTGAGATAGTCCTGAGCTTCTGCACTGGGTCCGCTTGCTTTAGTCAGCAGAGCTGCAGGGAGGTCTAAACAGATCTCTGGAATTGCCCCAGAGCTCTTGTTGTCTGTTAGGAAATCTGACACCTGTAAGGGTCTGACACCTGAAGAATCACCTTCAGAGAGGTGATTCTTGGCCCTGCCAGGCCTAGAAGTTTAGGGGAATGAGATGGGTCTGAAGCAGAGCCCAGGAAGGATGTCTGGTGCTAAACCTTCTTAGCGACCCCAGAGTCCAGGGCTCTGATCTGTGCAGGAACTAGAGGAAGGCTGACCGTGCTGGGGGCCGAGGGAGCCGAGAGAAAGGACAGGAGGGCTCTGATGTCAAGGGGCAGAGCTACCTTTGTCAGTATGGAAGTCTCACATGATTATCCTGGACTCTTCAGGCTGAAGAGGACCTGGTAATTATTTGCTCATTGTTCTTTGACTTGTGTCTCTCAATATATTAAATATATATGTCACCTTGTGGTTTGGGTTGAGGTCAACTACATATGCATCCTGTATGCCCCACGCCTTAGAAAGTCCATGCACATGAGGGGATGATAGCCTCTGAAAAGTTCTACAGTAAGAAAACCTGTCTCATTTTGTTCAAGCAACTTTTTAAAGTTTATATGTATATATCCATCCATCTATCTATCTATCTATATCTATCTATCTATCTATCTATCTATCTATCTATCTATCTATCTATATATATATATATATATATCTTATAGATTCAATAACTTCAGTTCCAAGGCCATGGGGCCAGACAGTGATGCAGCCAGGCTAGAACCCATATGCCCTGCCTCATGCTCCAGTGGACTCTCTATTTACTTGAGCTGTTCACTGAATTGAAAGGCTAGATGATTATTTATTAAACTGGGTTCTTTGGAAGCCCAGTCTCATGAGATGTTCAGGAATGCTGAGCTAGGGACACACATTCTGACCACATCAGGTTAGGATACCCAGGATTACAGAAAGATGAACGGGTTGATTGGCTCTGGGGCTCCTCAGAATTTTTAGTTTGATGTCCCTGTGAATCACCAAGGTCAGGAGGTGATATATAGAGTTCCCCAGCTTACATGGTCCAGGAATTCCTGTTGTAAGGAGTCTCTCTCTGTGGATTTGTTTCATGGAGATGAGTTGAAGAATTCAGATCTGGGTCAGTGAGGTTTATGTGGATTTCTGTACCCCTTCTCACGTGACCCCAAGCATTGCTGCGCTTTCTGTGTTGAAAAGGAAGTTGGTCAGTGCAGCCAGCACCCTTCTGCCCCTTTGACATTTGTTCTTCCATGTTACAGAGCAAGGAGATTGGCCTGCAGATGCATGAGGAGCTACTGAAGGTCACCAACGAGCTCTACACAGTAAGTCTCACCCCGGTTCCGCTACTGTTTGGGATCGAGCCCCCTTTGCTTCCATGCCCAGCACTGGAGGGAGGCTGGCCAGCCGTCTGGGTAACCCTTGGCCCTTTTGCTCTGTCCTTTGCCCGAGTGACAGCAGGATTATCAGAGTGGGAGATAATGGCTTACAGCCCCAGCTTCTGTTTCAGAATGTCTGGGGAGGGGCCCTGGGCACATTTAGTTTGTAAAAGTTCATAGAGATTCAGATTACCTGCCAGCCATGAGAACGTGTTACATTTCAAAGCAGAAGATGCCAAGCTGAGGTGGGGAGAGCCAGGCTCAGGTAGGACAGGCAGAAGCCGAGGCCCACTCCTTACTGGCTGTGGGGTGTGGAGCTCATCTGGGTCTCCGTATTCTCATCTGCTAATTGAAGCACTATTCGGAGGCTCACATGAGGCCGGGGTGGGGTTGATAAGCATGCCTTGCCATCTCAGGGTCATAATGTAAGAATGTGCACAATTTGGCTCAGAACAAACCTTGCTGCCTGCTTGGGCTTGAGATCTAACTGGTTTTGGGATGGGTGTTAGAATCCAAGAAGGTGAGGGAATGGGGAACACAAACACACTGGTTAATGGTGCTGGAAGTTACAGCGTGTGCTTTGAGGAGCCATGGGCTTCCTTGGGGAGCAGTGAGACAGCGCCGGGGGTGGGGAGGCCCAGCAGACAGAACCACAGGCCTTCCACCCCTGAGCCCGCCAGGCTGGAATCAGACTGTTATGTTTAAAGTATGTGGATATTCCTCGTCAAGTGTCTCATTGAAAGGGGAGGATTCTGAGGCTAAGATTATATTTGAAAATCCCTGGTATGAGAGGACCAAGAGCAGGCTGTGAGAAGGCCCCTCTCATTGATATTGTTATTCCTCAGTCCACATCCTGGGTGACCAGTAGCTGGTGGACCCCTCAAAGGGGCTAAGAGCCTTTGCCCAAGAGCCTGGACTTCAGGTAGGAAGTCCTGCCTTAGACCCTAACCAGCTATGAGACTTTGGGCCAGGCATTTCCTCTTCTGGGCCTCAGTCTCCCAATCATAAAAATGGGGGTGAGACTTCCTAGTGGTTGGTCTACCAACGTCGAAACACATATGTCTATGATTCCAAGTTAAGGAGAAAAATTTGAGCCCTGACAGTTTTTAATTAGATCGTTGCTTTGGGTGAAAGGAGGCACTGCTGATGGAGAAAACACAACTTGACTTTGAGGCAGCTGGGATTGTGGGGAAGAATCACCTCGTGGTTTATAGCACAGACTCTGGAGCTGGACACCTGGCTTCAAATCCAGCTGATAGATAGAAATAATAACGCCTGCCCCTTGTGAGAACGAAAGGGAAGATAAGTGAAGAACACCCAGGAGAAAGAACCCAGGCCGCAGTGTGTCGGAGCCCACGGTCCTCTTAGACTCTGTCTCCACCTCCCTGGAGGGTGTGAGGGTGAGGCAGCCTGTGCGTTCCTGCAGTGGGGAAGCATGGGGACGAAGGGGCAAGACCGGAAACCAGATGAGATGTTTCTCTGCAGAGCGTTTGTTCTCCATCCAGGACCTTTTCCTGTTTCTCAGGCACTTCACGTCCACGGTGTTCCAGCACCTGGGTCTATGTTTGGGACCCTGGCTGGTCACACTNCTTCACGTCCACGGTGTTCCAGCACCTGGGTCTATGTTTGGGACCCTGGCTGGTCACACTTGGCTCTCGAAGCTTTCCTCTGGGCTTCAGCTGGGCTCCCCTCCTGCGTGCTCTATGTTCACCCCCAATCCCCCCGACCTTGGCTGCTTCACCCCTGTTATTCCCCCTGCCTACAGCTGCCCTCCTTCCTCTTATACTTACTTGTGTCATACTCAGTTTTCAAACGCAGACCAAGCTCCACCACCTTAAGAAAGCCGTCACCTCTGGGCCTCAAATTCCTGCGGCTGTTTTAAAAAAACTCCGTGTGTTATCTTGACGTTCTCTGCCCTGTCTCTTCAGTTGGCATATACACTCCCTGGCGTCAGATCTTGGTGAGAAGCACTACACATGAGGCCCAAAGACTCAGATCGAGCCCGGCTGCTGTGTCTTGGGCAGGTTACTTCAGCTCTCAGTGAAACTCAGGTTGGCAATGAAAGCTTTCTCCAGTTTGTGGGCTGGATAGGGCAGGCAGTTGTCAGGGACCAAGAGGGTGATGCTGGTGCCTACACATGTGTGTCCCTGCTGGCCGTGGGGCAGGGTGGCTGGACAGAAGTGCATGCCCTTCGTATTAGACGAACAGGCCAGGTGGGCAGGTTGGTCCCTCTTTCCATCTCCCAGCTGCTTCTCGATGGCCTCAGAACTGGTAGGGAAGGAAGGGTCAGCCCCTCCCCACTCTCTCCTTTTGCCACTTGCTGCAGAAAAGTGAGAACATAGTGCCCACAGCATCCCCTCCCCCATCAGGGAATTTGTTGTCTGTACTGAGTTTTCAGTAGTTGTCCAGAAATTCACTTAAATTCAAATATTTGGGACTACCTTCTATGGTCTCAGCACCACAGGAGGCAGAGCAGCAGGCTGTGAATATTTCAAGAGTTGGTCTTTGAAGTGTCTTGTACATCCCTGTTATTCCCGGGGTACTTATTGAGGGATGGAAGGAGGGATGTATGAATAAATGAAAGAAGCTGGTTTTGCCTGCAAGGCATTTAGAAGCTGCACAGGAAGATGAGAGTAAACTTGTGAACTGGTGATATAGCATGTGCTGGATATCTGGACTCGGAGGGAGGACGCCTGGACTGTGGGTCCCCGGGGGTGGCACCAGGCTCTCTGCAGTCGCCCCACTGCTGTCCCCGAGGGTGGTGCTGCCACCTAGAAGGCAGTCGGTACAGACTGGCTGAGTGAGGTAATGAGGGGGAGTGTGGGCATTCCTGAGAGACTCACTGAAGATTCAAAAGGTGAAGGGCTGGCTCCCGGTGGGTTACTGAAATCCAGGGTGAGTTCTGAGCCCAGTGCCTTTGGATGGTAGGAATTAGTAAAGCAGAGGGGGAGAGAGGAAGAGAAAAGGAATTCTCAGGAGGGGAGATGACATAGGATCATAGCAGAGCAAACATTACAGGGGGAGGTGGGTTTGAATTTCTGCTGCACCACCTCCCAGCTCAGCCAAGTCAAATATCGTCTTTGGACCTCATTTTCCTTATTGTCAAAACAAGGATAGTAATAACAACCATGGCCAGAATGTATTTCACACTTTTAGATACTTTATATGTATCATTTAATTAACACACATTTTACAGATAAAGAAACTGAGTCACAAAGAAATAAAGCCTTGCTTAAGGCTTTATCAGTTATCAATGACTGCGTAACAAGTTATGTCAAAACTCAGTGTCTGAAAATGACAACTATTTTATTTGCTCATGATTCTGTGGGTTGGTGATTTGGGCTGGGTTCCACTGGAGCCACTGATATGGCTACAATTTCCTGACCAAGCAAAAAAAAAAAGAGCCCCAAACGGGAAAACACCAGTGGGATTTCAAGCCTTTGTGTCACCTGCACTGACAGCTCATTGCCCAAATCAAGTCGCACAGCCAGTCCACAGTTGTAGGATGGAGAGGTAAGCTGCTCCTGAAGTGCCAGTGCAAAGTGATCTCCCTGAGGCTATCGAGCCGCTGCTGTGGCCTTCATAAACAATCCACTGAAGCACCCCGCTACTGAGGGCGCTCTGGACCCCAGTTCCAGGCTTTGTTATTGGGGATTTCTTTCTGGTTACCATGCCTGGTTATGCAAGCCTTTAGATGTTCCCTCCTCCCCCAGCCCGAGTCATGACCACAGGGACTAAAAAGGAAATGATGTTGAGAAAGGATTGTCCAGGAAGTCCCACGTTTTTTCTTGTAATGTTTTATAGAAGAGGTGGTAAGAGCATAATGATGATAGAAATCAATGCTTAAGGTTGCCTATTTCCCACTTTAGGGAAAAGACTTGTCCCCATCTGGGATCAGGAAGGACACAGAGAAGACTGCAGGCCTGGGCATTTTGTTAGTTCATTTGTTCATTGGTTCATTCATTCATTCATTCACACTTGCCAAGGCTTCCCTCTGCCTAGTCCTCATCACCTTGAGGCGCCCTTCTTTCTAAAACATGCCAGGGCGCGTATACACACACATGCACACCCCACGTCACACCTCACCTCTTTCCCCTAGACTGCCATCAGCCTGATGCAATATAGCTCTTGCTCATCATGTATTGGTCTGGGAGGAAAGAAGGGCAGAGGTCCAGAATGTGGGCCAGGGTGCCAGTCCTTCTGGAAGAAGCAAAACCAAAACAAAACAGAAACAACACATTCTGTTTTTGTTGTTCAGCTAAAAATATGTTCAGATTTTCAATAGTTTTACATCACAAAATGCACCTGTTGTGCTTTGCACTAACACACATTGTAGCGTCTGCCGCCTGGCCCCTCCTTTGGGCTCAGGAGCTCTGTTTGAGGCTTCCCCAGTCAGGGCTGCTGCGCCTGCTTTCCCAGCCCAGCACTGAACCAAGTCTCAGGGCACTGTGGAGGGGGCCTGAGGAGCATCCACACGAGCCCACTGCTGGTGACGGGTGGACACTGGTTGGAGTAACACAGATGGGCTCTACCTTTTACTTACTCCATCTTTGATTTGATTTACACTGGGCTTAGACGTGTGAAATCAACTCTGGGCACTCAGATAAATTTTTGCAGTGGCGACTCCCTGTCTCCCTATCGATGACCATTCTCAGGGATGCAATAGTAGAGAGAGCTTGAGACGGGATCCTGCAACCTGGGTTCTGGTCCCAGCTCCATGCCAGCCTCACTGTGTGTCTTTCTGGACTGACATCTGTCATCACTAAAGTATAACCACTGTGCTTTCATCATGCCATTGGGCCCTGTGCCATTTACTTAATAGTTTTCTTTAAGTCAACTCTTAAAAAAAAAAAACCTCTCCCTGTTGTAATTAATTTGTGGAGAAGCAGCTGTGTGTACTGAAAAGAATACAGGTTTTTAGAACCAAATGGACCTGGGTTACAGGC